GCACTCTTGCACTCTCCCTGTCTCTCTGGAGCACGCCACGCCTTCCTCTCCTTCTCCCAGGCATGTCATCTATGGCAGCCTTTCTCCTAAGCTCCAAAGGCCCTTCTTTTACCTCTGCAACTCATTTCCTGGTCTACACAGCCACGCTGGTTCACTTCTTCTGCCCCTGTGACTGTCTCAAACTGTCACTATTATTTGAGTTTTGGTGCTGAATTCTTTTCTGAGTGTAACTCAAGAACCAAGGTCTAACATCTGGCGCCATTTGCCACTAACAGTTGACATTTAACAGATATTTACAAACGAACTTTATGGGATAGGCACTGGGCTATGCACCGAGGATGCAAAGGTCAACAAGAGATGAACACACGGTAACACAAACGTTATGGTGAAGAAAATGCAGGGTTTCGTGGGATCACAAAGTAGCCAGAATAAACCCGCTCTAGAGCAATGGAGAAGAACTCCCAATGGGTTTGACAATTAATCTAAGGCCTAAACAATGAAAAGGACTTTGCCTAGAAAAGGTCTGGGGTGGAGAGGAACTGGGGGGCAGAGAGAATGCCAGGGATGCCTAATTTTTTGGCGTCTCTGGAAGAAGAATTGTCTTGGGCCACACATTAAATACACTGTGACACATAATCACACACACAAAAATCTCAGAATATTTTAAGTAAATTTACAATTTTGTGTTGGGCCAAATTCATGGCCATCCTGGGCTGCACGTGGCCCGTGGGTCGCAGGAGGGACACCCTGGTCTAAGCAGAGAAAGAGACATGTGCCAGGTCCTGCTGGCCAGGAAGGTGCTTCAGTGAAGTTTTATACCAAGTCAAGGTAAGACCACAGAAGGGCAGTTTGCAAGAGATAAGCTGCGTAGGTCTGTCTTTTGAAAAGCACACTCTGGCTGTGCAATGAAAAATGGGTGGAGGGATGGTGGCATGAAGCCAGTCAGATGTATCTCAACGGCAGATTCGAGGTGGGGTCCCAGGGCAGTGGCAACATGAGAGAAGCAATTTCATGGGATGCTCAGAAGAATGGAGACTGGCTGAATAGGGAAGTGCACTGAAGAACAGGGAGTCAAAGTCATCTTTCAGGTTCACTGTGGAGCAACCAGCTAGACAGAAGCCCTGGAACAGACCCTGGAGAAGGACCATGTTTGAAGGAGAAGACTTGAATGAAGATAACCTTACATGACCACCCAGTAGAGATGTGGAAGTCACATAACTGTGACGACCCTCCTAAACTATGAAAAATGGTATCCATCAGTGTTCGAAAAATAAAGGTGTGTTCTAGCCTAAAGAACTAGCTTAAAACATTAGTGACCAAGGGCTGGGAGAGGAGACTGAGTTGAACTGTGCCCTCTAAAAAATACGTCAAAGCCCTCACCTTCAGTACCTGTGCATTTGACCGTATTTGGAAATAAGGTCTTTGCAGATGTAATCAAGTTAGGATGAGATGATTCTGGAGCAGGGTGGCTCCTATATGCAGTAACCTGTGTGCTTATATGGTGGCAGGGGGGCAGATTTAGAGACATGAAATCACAGGAGAGAAGAAGCCATGTGAAGACAGAGGCAGAGACTGGAGTTAGGCTGCTACAAGCCAAGGAACCTCAGGAGTGAGCAGGAGCTGGAAGGGGCAAGGCAGGGTTCGTTCCCAGAGCCTTCGGAGCAGGTACGGCCTGCCGATATCTGGACTTCAAACCTCTGCCTCCAGAACTGCAAGAGGATGGAGTGCTACTGCTTTAAGCCACCTAGTGCGTGGTACTTCGCTACAGCAGCTGGGGAGAAAAACTTTTTATCTAAAGACTAAATCGGAAGGGAAGACCTACGCCAGATACAAGGCTGGTATATGAAAATAGTAAGATAGTTAACTACCTTACAAAATAAGTCTTTTGAGAGTTTGAACTTATTTAGGTCTTGATTTCAGTATTCACACTGCAGAACTGGGAAGCACAGTATTTAATACCTAAGGTTGTACAGGGCACATAGTCTATACGCTGTAACGGATGATGATAAATAAGTTATTCCTAGGCACGGACTGCACAGTATAAGAAGTTACTGTCCACTAAGCTATGAGCACAACACTGCAATCGATTATTGCTGTGTCAGGACGGACAGATTTTCACACTGTCACGACTGTGAAGGCAGCGCCGGCGGACACTTCACCACCACTCTGGGACGATGGTTCTCAGCTGGAGGCAATGTGGCCCCAGGAGAACATGTGACAGTGTTTGGAGATATTTCGGGTTGTCACACCTGGGAGGACAGTGCTACCAGAAACTGGGAAGCTGCTAAAACACCCTACAGAGCACGCAGCAGCCCCAGGCCAAGGAGCTGTCAGGTCTCCGGATGAGCCGAGGTGAACTCGGCTCCAGAAGTGCCCAAGTAATCTGTGAGGAAAGCTTCCACTGCCAAAGATCTCCCTTCCTCATTCAAAACAGTCAAGCTGATCGTGTATCCTTTTGAAATGTGGTGGAAGAGACTATTAACACAGTGACTCATGAACAGTCCAAAGCTAAAGGAAACTTTAAACTTCTTTTTTGATATTCTAAAAAAAAAAATAAGTGAAAATTCCTGTCCTAGAAGACAGCCGTGGTCACGGACACTCTGCAAGTACTAGCAGTAAGAAGGCCCCTGCACAGCGGAGGCAGCCACACACCCTAGGCATCTGCGGCCGTGCTCGGCACAGAACAGCTGCCACACTGGGGGAGGAGAAAGAGTAACTCTCCTCCCAGGCCGTCTCTGCCGGGAGCCCGGAGCCTCCCTGACGCTGAAAACATTGGAGATGCAGAAGCTAGGCTCCTTGACTAGTCCCTGGAATTACGATTAGGCGGTGGGTGGCTGGATCAGTCCTGCAGAGCTGGCGCAGGTAGTAATCCTTTATCTGTACCTCTTGGCCAAGCCTAAATTACTGCCTTGTTGAAAGCTGTCGAATCTCCGAATCTCCTTCGCTGCTGCCTCTGGCATGCGAAGCATTTATAGCTGCCTCCTTGAAGCTGCAGAGTAAACATGGCTGTGCACACTGTACATTTTTAACCAGGCCTGTTTATCCAGCCTCTGTGTTCTGCTTGTCACTCTCACCACACAGTCAGGTTAGACAACTTGAGCGCCAGTGCCATTCTGAGTCAAGAGCACCTTTGAAGCAGGATGAGCTCATGGTGAGGGCAAGAAAATTCCAGTTTCAGTTAAGGGCAAAGTTAGGTACTCAGGTTGCCCTCTCCATTGGAGCTGTATATTTTGCTGTTCCTTTTATTATAATATAAGTTCAAATTTACCTGAGAAAATACGTGTGGGGTAGCTAGGAAAGCAACTTGAAATGTAATGGCAAAATCTCCCATGGAGGGAAAAGTATTCCAGTTAGTAGAACAGCATATACCTTAATTCAAACTTTCAAAGTCTGTATTTATTGGGTAGTTCTATGCAAGTCCAAGAATAAAAGTTGTACTATCCTGGCTTAAATACCCTTAATGGTTTCACCAAGTCACTGAAGATATCAAAATCAAAACTACATTTTGTTTAAAATCAGTTTAATATACTTTACTGTTAAATCAAAAGCTGAGATAAAGCTTTGGGCCCACTGAGACAGAGCCAATATTCCAACAGCTGGAAGATGTTAAAAGTCCAGGGTTCTGGCATTTGAAGAGCATATATATATAATTATTCTTCCCAAAAAACAAAACATCTTGAAGAATGCCAAGAAAACATGCTATCTCATAGGAAACCAACAAAACACAAAAATACAAAAACTGTACTGTCTCTCCCATCCTTTATTTATAAAATCGACTTAACTCCTAGAACTATTTAAATGGACCCAAGGTAAGAGGAATCATTTCTTCCTAAAGTTACGGAAACACTCTTTTCCTAAGTATGAAAAATAACCCTCATCATTGTATTACGGCTTTTCAGGACAGACCATGCAAAGCTGTCAGTTCAGCCAGGCAGCCAAACAGCTGAAACCATTCATAACACAGTCTGACTAAAAGGAGCGAAAAGAGAAGCTCAACCTCTGTTTCAACCGAGTTTGACTACTCGAGCCAACATGTCAGCAAGTCAGAAGTGGAATTTAAATAAATATCTTACGGTAAATTTCAATGCATATTTTACATATTCCTAGAAGCCTGTTTCCATGAGTCTCTTCACCTTGTCAGAACCGTACCCTATGAACTACCCCTACTTCTATTACATGCCAGCAGTTCTCCTCACTAGCATTGCCTTCCTATGTGGAAATAACACAGCACAGATTCATGGTTAAGTTTGCGTTCTGGGAAAGATGGACTATTCATGAAGGACCAGCAGGAAAATCCTTTACTATACTGAGTATAGTTAGAACGTTCCCTAGGGAACAGCAGAGCTGAGGGGAGTGTGTGTGTACGTGTGTGTGTGAGCACACACATGCTCGTACAGTATTCTTCCTGGATGTCTCCCCAGAGCAGTTCATGAGTACACAACCAGAAGTCTGAAGTTAGAGTCATAACACTCTGCCAACCAGCCGATTTACTTTATATTCCCTTAAGAAGAGAGTATTAGAGGGTCGTGAACATCTTCCCAGTCACGGGGAAACCTTTTAGACTACCAGTCACGAAGAGCAGTGGATTTTAAATTAAATTACCAGGAGCACTAGACGTGCGCCCCAGCTTGTTCTCAATCGGGGGAAAGGTTCTACAGAGAAGAGGTTTGAAAACTGCTGATTGAGAATAATAAGAGCATTCCCTCCCAAGGGATGTCACGAGAACTCAGTAATATGAATGTATAAAATGCTCAGAACGTGGGTTTGCACACTCCAAAAGCTCCACACAGCCTGGCTAGAATGCTGGTGCTGCTAACGATTCAAGTCTCAGCTGTGCAGGTAATTTAAAGAAAACGAAGCCCAGACGCTGCTGTGGTTCCGTGTGTAGAAGCTACACATCTAACACCTCCAGCTTTTAAACAGTGATCACCTCTAACAAGCATCTGAACGGCAGCGCTTTGAAATTGGACACACAGCAAGCAGCACCCGGAAAGGCGTACCTCTTCTTCTTGGTGATAATGAGCACGTCGTTAAAGAGGAAGAAGTACACTTGCTGTTTGGACGTCCTTCTTGAGAAAAGCACAGTGTCTTCTACGTAGGCTGTCAGTTCGCCCCTCTTCACCAACCACCGGGAGGAGGAGACCAGAGGAAAAGGCTGCGAGAAGAGAAAAGCTCAGCACCCAAAGCCAAACGACAGTACTTTTAAAGTTATTATACATAAAATATAAACCTTACAAACAAACAGATTATACATATTATGGCATGCATCATTATTTTTAGGTATATTATGGTGAAACAGAGAAGTATAGTAATTCTCCAATTCAACATGAAAAAGAACATTTTTATTTCCCAATATTAAAAAACACTAATTTGCCTATATGGAACTAAAACTCAATATGAAACTGCTATTGGGTCAACAAGAAAGTAAGTATTATATTAACTCTTTCTATTAACTCTCAACTGAGAAAGAAGATGGATAAGGAGTCGCTTAAAACCAAAAAGCCTCAGAAAGAAATCTACCAGTAACAACGGCAGGTCTCTTATATTTCACAAGTCAGAATCTAAACATACAGGAAAATATAGATAACTATAGTTAAGGAACAAATATAAAAGTCTACATTTACTTTATGAACTAAACAGACTTTATTCAAAAGAAAAAAAAGTCCTCTCAAATGTGTGATTTGTCTACTAATTCTTAGCCATATTCTGAAGAACACCTGTTCTTAAGTTTGTGCTAGTTTTCCTCATAGAGATTCACCCCTGAAAGCATCATGCTATTTTCTGGTTGGAAAAACAAAGTTTTCGCCAAATAATCCATCTTAATCCCACAGAAAAGGCTGGATACAAGAAATTACATAGTTTAAAAAAAATTTTCAGTTTCCAGTTTCCAACTGAAAAACTCTCAAAACCACAGAATAATCCTTACCCTTGAGATCTCTCTCTCTTTTTTTAAGTTACCAGAAATGCTTACTGCCAAAAAGCTGACTTACAAAACTAGATCCATAAAATAAGCTGAAGTTCTCGGACACACAAAACATAACTGTGTAACTGTGGAAATGTAGTGCAACCAAATGTCACCCTTTTCAGGGAATAATGATTAAAAATAGCTATAGGAAATTGGGGATATTAGGAAGGAAATAAAGTAAGCTAAGAAAGAATTTAATTTTTTGAAACTTTATAAAAGACTTCTATAAGCAGGTTCCTCATCAGTTATGTACTGCTTTCCTGGAGGTTTACAAAGAATGAAAGATTATGGTTGACCTCAAACTTTCAAAACTTGCTATTAAGTGAGTACATTGAGTTTCCAACCCCCAGATCTCCAATCAGACGATTACCCAACAGGAATGGCTGAACTTAAAATGCCAACAGGTGAAGAGAGTGCTTAGGTGACTGGTGAACCCATCAGCACACAAGAGGTCACCACAGAGAACTGAGAGTCCGGGTTGGTCTTGCTGAGGGTACGTAATTGCTGGAACACAGAGCTATCCTATCCTGCTCTTGCATGGAACCGACCTGGCCAACCAAGGACGGTTTTAAGTTCCAGTGTACCTGCCACATCCTTATGGCTGCTCTTAGTTTAGGGACCGGAAAGGAAGTTTTTCAAATTACTGGGCTGTCTTTAAAATAGATTGATTTTTATGGACTCCTCATACTCCACCAGATAAAAATAAATTTCTAATGAATATCTAAAACTGAGAGTGGCTTTCAATAGGTCTGCTTCTGTTGAGAACAAAAATCTAATGTTATGTGCTTTTTTGTTTCAGAATTGATTTGTTAGAAGATAAAACTCATTCAGTGTTGGTGGAGAGGGAGGAACAGCAACTATGAAAATGACCACAAAAAAATCTGAACAAGCCTCAGTGGGCAATCCTGGAGTTCGGAAACCCTAAGACTAGAATCCAGGTGTACCTCAAAACCCAGAAAAGGAATCCACGAACAAAAATATGTCCCTAACGGTACTGATACAATTCCCACGGAGAAAAGACTTTTGTGTTCCTTGGCATCCTAGAAAACTAGCCTCAGCATAAGACTCAACTGATTTTGTGGGCCAGCAAGACAAGGAAGAGACACTGAAGAGCAAATATTTTAAAACTGATGTAAAGTTAATAATTGAACCATTTAAAAGTATGTATATGATTCAGTCAGTGGCTTCAGTGCATTCATAATGCTGTGTGATGATCATAGCGACCTAATTCCAGAACATGTTCATGACGCCAAAAGGAAGCCCCAAATGCGTTAGGATTCACTCTCCACTCTGCCTCCGCCAGGATCCTGGCAATCACAATTCTACTTTCTATCTCCATGGATTCCTTTATTCTGGACATGTCACATCAATGGAATTATGCAATACATGACCTATTGAGTCTGTTTGCTTTCACTCAAGCATAACGTTTTCGATGCTCATGCACATTGTAGCATGTACCAGGACTTCATTCCTTTCTGTGACCAAATACAGTTTCACTGGATGGATATACCACATTTTTATCACTTCCCCAATTTTGTTAATGGATATCTGGGTTGTTTCCACAATTTGGCAATAATAAATAATGCTGCCATGCCCATTGATGTAAAGGGGTTTTTTGAACAACCGCCTTCAGTTCTCTCGGGTATGCACCTGGGGGGGGGGCGACGGCTGGGTCACACAGTAATTCTGGTTGGCTTTTTGAGGAACTGCCAAGCTGTCTTCTACATGCTGCATCCCGTCCTGAATAAAACTGTCTCAAAGGTCATGTTGGCTGCAACATGGCACAACTCTAAGCTACTCCAAAATTTTCAGGGAGGTTGAGGGCCCTGGTGGCAGAAGAAAGATTCTGCTGTGCTGTAACTCATGCCTGAGATCTGATGGATGGGGCTAGTGTGGGTGAAGCATGCAAAGGAAGAAGTGCTGGTGGTCCAGTCTGACGTGTTGGTGATTTTAGCCAAGCGCTACTGACGGGTGCCTTGCTTGCTGTGGGGTGACACCAGCATTTCCCAGGAGAAATTTGGTAAGTCAAGGCTCATTTTACTTTCGCTGCTGATGGCATTTCTCAATGACCAGATATATTTTCCTAAAACAATTAGAAACCAATTACAGAGAAGGACAAGATTCTTTGGGGGTGATGGGAGAAAGATGGGTTTTGAAATTGCTGTGAATTTCTGTATGAGGACACTGTAACTATTTAAAGGGTATGTATGTATTTGTGTTGGGTTTACAAGTGCCCATCATCATCTATTCTAAGCAGAATTATGGATCCTGTTTCTGCCACTAAACCTTTATAGTCAAGATGTGGTGGTGAAGAATTTACCCTGATCTACAAGCCAGGACATCAGGACCCCAGCCCTGATTCTACCACCACTCACCAAGAAAACCTGTTAACAATGAATTTTTCTTTGGGTGTTCGTTTCCTCATCTGTAAAATAAGAGGGTATATATAGCTGTACTGGTCCTCACACTGTACAACAGGCCAGTGATCTGCTCTCTGCAGTGGGCCATGAAATGCTGATCATTAACCACTGCACGATTAGGAACACTTTTACTATAAAAAAAACATGACCTGTCATTTTAAGTTGCTCAGTGAAATTCACAGGTGGTAAGACAAAATCACAATTTCGAGCATTTGCATCCTTTCAGAACTCAGCTATCCACCAACCAAGGACTGAGCGTGGCCCAGATTTGTCAGAAATTGTCACTTTCTTTTTTGTTCACCTCGTCACCTGCTCTGACAAGCAGAAACAGGCAGCGCACAGTCAATAAAGATTTATGGGAGAAAAATAAATTTGCAAAGAACAATCCACAAACAATCTTGTTTTGCAAACCAGACAAGGAGCGTCCTCATTTGATTTGGGAGAACACTGTAGTCCAGCTTCTGGGATACAGCTGGTTTGCAGGACACTTTGAGTACACTGAAGAACTCTCCTTTCCACTCTAAAATTCTATTATTTTTAACTGGCCTGTTCCCAAGTTTGGTGTCTTCCTTGGGGACGGGGGGCACAGATGCTCTAGTTGGATAACCCCCAACTCTGTGGCCTGCAGAGAGGTCACCTGGTCTGGCAGGAGCAAGAACGGAGTTGCACCCGGCATCCGCTGCTCCCTCTGTCAGCCTCTTTCTAATCAATTTATGGCCCTTCTTTGAAAAGTCAAATCCTATCCACTTTGTTGCCCTCAACTTGCCTCTCTATTTTCTGAAGACTTAAGCAAGAGCAGTAATAAATCTGTTTACGTAAAAGTGTGAGAATACCTTAATTTTAAATTCCAGCTGTGAGTTAATTGTGTACATCATTTCCGTCCTCTCCATCTTCCGGGCGCCTTCATTGCACAGACGGACCAACTGGGAAGACAGAGACATAGGAGGGCTGAGAGGTCAAGGAGAGAGACCTCACTTTCAAAAGCAGATCTCTCGCAGGAAATAATTAGCACTTGGGAAGCTCCAGAGACTCATTTCTGACAGTTCAAGTTCTGTTTTACACAGTGAAGCCTTTGTACTCAGTTAGAAATGGCATCATTAGTTCGTGAAGACAGAGGGAAAAATTATCCTGGAAATTTTCAGGGACAAATGTCCTTCAAGTGTTCCTATTCCATCACGCCCGCCCTCCACACACAGGTCCCTCCCACAGGTCAGGTCCCTGTGCTTCCTGCCCCTTCCCTCTGCCCCTCCCCCCTCCTGACCTCTACCCAAGGGAACCTCCTCACGCAGCCTCAGGGAATGTGCACCTTCCTCCTCATTTCCTAGTCTGAGCAGCTGCAGGCAGACTACCCACATCAAAGGCAAATTCTCAACAGAATGGGACGTGCAATGCATATGACCAGCAAACAGAATAATGAAAGAGGGAAGCCTTTATTCAGGTGAAACCCGATGGTTGATGATTCTTCAAGGAAGGTCAAGCTAAGGGAAATTCTCTTTAATTAGAACTAATGAATTGTCTACAACCGAAATGCATATAGTCCTTTGGTGAACCCCCGTGATGCTGTGATTTATAATAAGAAATACAGTTAGTCTCTGTTCATACTACCCAGCACATAGCATCTAAAACCCTTGTAATTTCTTAGTAGGAGCCATAGGGGCATCTTTAGTTATAATAGGATATTTATTTATAACAAGCCCATTTCAACAGCACCAGTGTTTATGTTAATGAGGTAACTTTGGGAAATCCCTTAACAGGAGATGAGGCTGGCTGACAGGGGAAGCAGCCACGAGATGAGAAAGTGGGTTCAGACTTTTAGCCCCATCCCCTAAGCTTCTCGGGGGTGGGGCAGCGGCTAGAAATCGACTTGATCAGTAATGGCTAATGATTTACTTAATCAGTCATGCCTACATAATGAAACCTCTATAAAAATCACAGTAGTAAGACATCCAGCCGAAAAGGGACCTCACCCACTTTGACAAATGTGACAAATGGCCCTGCTACATTTAGCTGCAGCAGCAAAGAGCTATCCTCTGTAAGCGTCTGAAAGTGCTTACACAATCTCTATTCTCATGGGTGAGCGGAAGGGAGATACAATCATTACAGACTGAGATCTGAACGTAAAAAAAACAAAAACCAGGGGAATCGGGAAGAGGAAGGTGGAGAAGGAGGTCTCTCCGGAGAGGTCACCTACACTGAAAGCTAAAGGAAAAGAGAGAAGGAGCGGCGGGCCAGGCAGAGGGGACACCATGAGCAAAGGGCCAATGATGGGGAAGTGCTGGTGTGCCCGAGAAAGTAAAAGAACCTGACACAGGAAGCTGACACAAGATGAAGCTAGAGAGATGGGCCAGGGTCAAAGCATGCAAGCCGGTAAGGCATCTGGACTGTAGTCTTAAGTGCGCAGAGAAGCCACCAGTAGGCTTTCAGCAGTGACCTTCACAAATGAAAGAATTACTTCCTGAGCTGGGTATATCAGTAATTTCCCTCTTCACATAACACCAAGAGACTAGGGGGATAATTCTGATATTCATGACTCATAACTAAGAAAGAAATGCTGCCCTATAAGAAAATAAGTCACTGGAACAGCTTTTCTTTACAGAGAGCCTTTTATACACTTCCAGGATCCAGGTAAGGCAATTCACTGGTCTCCTGCATTCTGCCAACCTTTCCTAAAAGTATCAGTATCGAATCAAGTTAATAATAGATACCTGAAGGACTGCAGCAGTCTACTGTAACTGGGATGCGAAAGCTTGAAAAAATTCACTACCACTCCTAGTTCAGTTCAACGCCTACCTCTCTCTTCTCTCTTCTGTGTGAATTCAACTTCTCAAGAGCAGCCACATCAAATTTGACAAATCTCTTGCATGTTCAAGGCTAAACTACTCTAGTAGCTCCTCCCAGAGACACTCCCCTCCCCGACTCCTGCAGGGAGGCAGCACAGGATTTGGGTTCCCGGAGTAGAGACCCACTGGCAGCAGGGCCGCAGGTGACTTCACACCTGTCAGGCAGTTTCTTTGCTCCACCGCTTCCCAAAGTGGGATGTGCAGACCACCGATGGGGCAAGAAGTGAATTTCAGTGGCCGACAGGTTGCCATGGTTTGAATGTTTGTATCTCTTCTGAATACAGATGTTGAAATCTTAAGCCCCAAGGATGATGGTACTAGGTATAGCCCTCATGAATGGGATTTTACATGTTTTATAATAGAGGCTGCAGAGACCCTCCTTGCCCCTGCTGTCCTGTGAGGACACAAGAAGGAGTCAGCAGTCTGGAAGAAGGTGCTCAAATGACCACGCTGGCACCTCGATCTTGGACTTTTCAACCTCCAGAATTGGGAGAAAGAACTTTCTGTTGTTTATAAGCCACCAGATCTACAGTATTTTGTTCTCAAATGAACTAAGACAAAAATAAACTTATTTTTAATGCAAAAACGTATGTCAGAAAAATAAGTAGCTCATAAATCCTGTGATTTTTTAAAATTATTGGCGAGGATGAGGATAAATAAAATTGAGCCAGTTTTAAGAAGATTCAGCAGTATTGTGCAGGAAAGTGGTACAAAGACACACCGAACTCGAAGGTGGTACACACGCAGCATCGTTAGGTTTAGGGAGCTTCTGATGCCATCATCGTCTTTGCCTCTATGCCTCGCCCACTCAGTATCCTCGCCGACTTACCTTTATTGCTTTCTCTCATCTGGATATTCCTATCAGCAGTTAAATATACCTCTATTTGTCTGGTCTTTAAACAAACAACAAAACACCCTCACTCACTTCCCTGTCAGCTGAGCTCTCTCTCTTTCCACTCACAGCCCCATTGCTGAAAGAGCTAGCTACCCTTGCTGGCTGGCTGCAGGTTCACACCCCCTACTCATCCCTTAATGCACTCCAACCTGCTCCCTCACCCGTCACTGCAGAGTCACACCCACCTGATGACAAACCCAATACACTATCGCACTTTATGTTTCAGGAGCACTGAATAGGGCTGACCTTCCTCCCACCAAACCATCTGCTATTTTGCCAGACCTTTATGGTTTCCCTCCTTCTTTGGTATGTTCTGTTTTGATTTGCAAGTTTCCTTTTCTCTAAACAAGACAAATGTTGCTGCTGTTCACGGTCGTATCTCAGACTCACTACTTTTCTTCTTCTACACACTCTTTCTGGGTATTCTCAGCCACTCTCCCCGGTTCGAAAGCCCTCCATACGCTGATGACTCCCAAATTTGTACGTCCAATTCCAGACTCTCCACTGAGCTCCTGACTTATTTATTCAGCCCATTTGGATATCCCACAGGAATCTCAATACATACCCATATCCCCAATGGAACTCATCAGCTTCTCCCATATTTCTACTGCAGAGACAAGTAAGAGCATCTACCTAGTTGCCCAAGCCAGAGGCTACATTCCTTGACCTCTGACCCCAGTATGCTCACCCCTTCAATCTCCATGCTTGCCTCCCCCAAATTATAGGTTTGCTTCTTTCCATCTTTCTGTCCTGTCGGTATGCATCATTGTCATGTCTAGCCTAATCAACTATAAAAAACCCCTCATAATTGGTCACCTTCACAACCCAGGAATTTACAGCTGCTGCATCTTAGGATGAGGTCGAGAATTCCCAGCATGGCTCCCCAGTCCTCTCTCCTAGACTTGGGACTGGGCTCTCCAGTCACATGGAGAACATTCCAGGTCTTCACATTCTCTAAACACTTTCTTGCCTTTGGGTTTCTCTCTATATCTGAGACATTCTCTTTTCCTCATTCCTGGCTTATAGCTACTCTTGCTTTAAGTTTAGCTTAAACATTACTATTTCTTCCCTGTCTTGTCACTCACCACCCTTTATTGTAATTCCTATTTACCATCCGCCTTCCCCTTTACACGGCACATTTCATGAGGGCTGGAACCACAACTGTCTCGTTCATCACTGTATTTTCAAGGGCTGGCATTATGCCTGGCACAGTAGTTGAGAGGCAATAAATATTTATTTAATGAGAGAATGAATAAACAGTTATTCAGACACCACAAGAAAATGAGATGTCTATAGGCCCTCAAAGCAAGACTGGCTGACACAGTAAAAATGCACATTTCATTTGAGTATAGCAGACATCATTTTGTTTTTCAGCTACATAAAGAATGCTGTGCAAATGGCTATGAGAATCTACAAATTTTCAGCATCAAAGCCGGATGCACTCTCTCCCTAGCTATTTGAATAGTTTCCTGTCCGATGAGCTTCTCCACACCTACCTTGCTTACTTCCTTTAAGGCTCTTTTACAAACTTCATACTTCGGAGAGTCTTTAGGTGTTTTTTGGCAGATAGTCTGCAATGAAATACAAGAAGAAAAAAATCAACTGATTTATTTTATTAAGTACAATAAAACCAATACCTAGACATAACCTCTTACTCATAGCAGATTTACCAATGCTGAACACAATACTGTGGATAGGTGTGACGAAGACAATAAAATCCAATTAGAAAACCAGGAAACGGTCATTAAATATACAGAATCCTAGGCCATCCAGGAAGTGGTTAAATAAGAGGATAGACTTTGGAGGCGGATGAACCTGACTTCAGATTTGAGTTCTGTCTCTTCCTAGGTATTTGACCTTGGGCAGGTCATGACTCCTTCCTGTGTAAGCCTCAGTTTCTTCATCGGTAAATTCAGGACAACGCCAACCACGCCACCAGGTGTGGGTGTAAGGGTTGTATGATAACACAAGTGAAGTCCTTTATAGTGTCTGGCACACAGTAGGACCTCAATAAATAACAAGATTACTTTGTCATCATCATCCTCATTAAAAATTAACTGGTTTTGTAGATGACACAATTAAATAAAAGATGAAGATATAAAGGCTGCTAAATTTTCCCTTGATATATTTATGCTGCAATTTCTGTGAGGATAAAACTGAGCTCAAAGAGGTCAATTCAAGATAAACTGAATTACCTATAACTTTTGAAGCTATAGTCATTCAAAACCAACAAAACCATTTTAATTGTTTAAAATGTTCACTCAATTAGGCTTAAATCATCTCAAAACAAGTTTAACTAAATCTCCAAATGAAGTAAAATGGAAGAGACAACATTTTAAGGACATGTACATTCTGCCTCGGTGGCGAGATTCCGATACGTGAGAGCACATTAAGACAACAGGCATCGAGCGAAGGTGGAAGGTGGCTGGGACCTAGCAAACCACTGGCACCTGAAAACAGACGAGTACCAGGCCCGTAAACCTGAGCTCAGGTGTCAGGCTGTTATATGTGGGATGTCAGAACAAACACAAGGAGAGCCATCTGTGGGTTTATATTAATGGTTCTCGGATTTTCCTGACTATGACCCACTTGACAGTGGTGTTAAATATATTTAATACCACAACCAGTACCCATACAAACAAAACTGAAATGAGTTTTTTTGAAATTATATTTAACTACATTATGAAATTCTATTTAACTACATGATGAACCAGGTACACATTATGTACTGTATGTTCTATTCTAATTTTTTTAACTGCTCGTTTTTCAAAAATCAATTTTATGACCCACTAATGGGTTTAAAAGCAGTTTGAAAAACACTGGCTTCTGTTCCTGAGAGCAGGCACATGTAAATTTTGTGCATATGGAATTTTCTAGGGAGAATGACTACAGTTTTACTCAGAATCTCAAAACGGCCTCTGACCCCAAACGTTCAGAGCCCCCTGGACAGTGAGGGAGTAAGGCTCCCACAGGTGTGTGAGATTCTGTGGGTCTAATCTATCCAGGCAAAGCTTTCAAAAGGAAGCAGAGGGAGAACGCAAGGGGCTGAGGGGTTGAGGCACATGGACTTTAAGGAAATATAGCTAAAATGCATTTTCAGAAGAAAAAAAGGACCCTGAAAATTCGTAACAAGAAATTTCACATTTGGATAGCACCCATTTCTTATTTTAAAATAGTAAAGCTTAAAATATTTCCCTGTGTAACTTTAAGGAAATATAGCTAAAATGCATTTTCAGAAGAAAAAAAAGGACCCTGAAAATTCGTAAAACACTTAATATTTTTATAAAAGCTTTATAACTCACACAACACAAACCCTTTTTTAAGTGACTCCTTACTTCTGATAAATCTTACAGAAGAAAGCACAGTACTTGCTTCTGGAAGCAAGGTTTGAAACACAATATAACTCAGCACAAGCTATTACACTATTTTATTAATTTAGTCAAGAAACATCGTCTACTGTCAGGCTTAACATTTACTATTTAATTTGTTTCCATGCCAAACGTGCAGGTACCCATTATCCTTATTTTCAGATGCAGTTAAACGTTTTGTTTCGAATCACATAGCAAGTGGCAGAGAGAGAGAGTCTGTCCCCAGATCTGTCCTACTCCGTAGCCGAAGGACTTCTCTGCACCCCGTTTCCACGTCAGAGTCCCCTCCCCCAAAGTGCTGGGGGTGATGAGACGGGGAGGAAGCCCCCTCTGGCTGGAGGGGCCCCGAGGAAGGCCCTGAGAGAAGACACACTGGGGCTAGTGCTTCAGAGATGCACTTGCTCTGCTCGTGGAGAAATGGAAGATCAAGAAGTGGAGGCCAAGAACAGTGTGAACGAGGACGCAGAGTGGGAAGGTCGGCACGTGCGTGGGGAAGGAACAAATTAGGATGAAACCTGAAAAGACACCTTTTCTAAGTCAAAACTTGGGTTTGATCACCTGGCTGCATTCTGTCCTTGATAAGGATTAATCTAAAAAAAATTAGAGAGCTAAATTTTCAAAATTCTGCCAGTTTTTCAACACTCACAAGACGTTTCTAAGTTACAAGTGGTGGATGGGAAGGGGGGTGGTAAGTAGACTGAGGTGAACTCGGAGAGCAGTGGGTGCTGGGAATTCTGAGAAGATCACTGAAGCCTCCGCAACACCACGCAGAAGAGCCAACAAAGTGACTCACTGTGAAAAGCCCAATGCTCTTTCAGAACATATCTTAGAATTGGTAAGGAGACAGAGAAAATACAATGTGTTTTGTAACCTTATTTAGTCATGATTTTTACTATATTTTTATCCTGGGTTTCAAATAAGCTAAAACTGCCATATTAACATGGTCAATTTTAAAACAGAACTATGACAAATACTCCAATCTGACCATGAACGCTCTTTGCCCCGGTGGCTGCACGGCAGCTGTGTTGGACGCCCTGTTCTGCTCTCATCGATGCCACTGCAGATCCAGCCCGTCTAGTGCGCAGGCCCCTCAGCCCACCAGCCCCCTGCTCTCCCAGCTGCGCTCTACCCCAGGCAGGCTTCACTCACTCCTCCCAGCCACTATTCAACACCAATACTTGTTTTCCTCATGGATGTTCTCTGAAATAAGAAGGAAGCTGGACTTCCACACCCACTTTGTACAACGCAAAGCAGGGGCAAGTTTATGCCTTGTGTGCTGAAGTCTCATCCCCGGGAAGCACCTTGAACACCACAGAAAAGGGGTCTTAGTGACTGACCCCAGGAGACTGAGGCCCAGAGAGATCAAATGAATTAGCTGCCCTAGGTCACAGGTCTAGCGGCTCAGCCTGAACAGGAATCCAGGACTCCTGATTCGAGAAGTCAATATTCCTGCCATTTCAATGTTGAGTAAGTCCTACAATCTAAATTCTTTAGTGACCTCACAAGCCTAAATTGAAGATGATTTCCAAAGATATAAGACAAGAGAGAGACTTTCCAACCGAACAGCACCTTCTCACTTAATCAGGAGATTTTATAGAAGGGGTTATGCATCAATTTAAGGGAAAGAAGAATGATTTTCTTAATCAGGTCCACAGCACCACTCAGGCCTTACGTCCATCAGCAGGGGAAGGCGAGTCACCCTCTGCATGGGCAGAATGAGGAACGAGATCATGGGCAGGTTCCTACAGTCTTCATGGGACTCGATTCTTGACAGCACTTCCTTGAAAGACGGGTTGGTGGCTCTGATGAAAAACAAAGAAGAAACTTCAGTGCACTATCTCGTCAAGTCAAGAAGCAGTTAGACATGGAGTATAAAATGCTGTGATAAATTCATATATTATCAATGATTTTTAAATATATGGAACAACATAATTACGTAGGTAGACATAGAAGACTTCTCTGCCTTTTACAGTAACACTGAACAGAGGATATGGGTTTAATGTAGCTGTACAAACATGCTAAGCTAGAAATTTATAGGAGTGGGAAGTAAATGAGGAGGCAATGGTATCGTGATGGTGGCCACATGGATTTCGAATGAGTACACAGACTAGACCTCGTGCCCGATAGCCTAGAAATATTCCCTAAAAAGATAACAGATGGTTTGTTTTAAGTCAATTCTCTAGCCCTAGATAATAATGTAAGAAAGAAATGTCAGACTGGATTTATTAACTAGGAGGCTTTTAGACTTTCTCAAAGCGTGTAAGACAGAAAATCTCCAGACTATCGTCAGCCAGAGTATTTCTTCTCTCCCAGTGACATAAAAACAGTAATAATACTGTCCCAACACTTTTATGGAATTTAGCAAGAAATACTGACATACATGACCTTATGTGGAACCACCCACATAAGTTTTAAGGTAGGTCAAGAGGGGATTCCAAAAAGAATGGAGCCTCAGAAAGGTCCCAAACTTGCCAAATAACAGTATTTGGTAAAGACAGAAGTCAAACCAAGTCGAACTGACTTTCAGTGGGTGCCTTCACTCCATGTCTCCTGCTCTCACCTCACTTCACCCCGAGAGGAGCTTCTGGGACCCCCACTGGGACTTGCAGAGGCAGGAGGGATGGTCCCGCGTGTGGCGTCGCCACGCTGAAGGGCAGGGACCAGGCCAAGAGGCAGAGTAGTGGCAGGTGTGACCTTTTTACATAGATACCTTTTTTTTAAAATTAAATAATTAAATGATTTGGTTCAAGTCTGCTAAAAATAAATTAGGAAATACCCAGAATAGCAAATAAAAAAATCACAGAAACATTTGAATCGCATTTTCTCAAAATGTGGAGTTTTAAGTTTTCCTTCCTGCTAGTTTGAAATGATTTTTAGGAAGTTAAAAGAAAAAGAATCATATTCAAAACCACTTGCATCTTTAAATCACTTAGTCTCCCACCCCCTCCCAAAGAGTCTGAGTAAAGAGTCTGGAATGGGTGCTGGGCTCTGTGTTTGCTTGTTTTCAGATTCCCAGGAGTTTCCAAAGTGCAGCTGAAGTTGAACGTCACTGTCCTAAAAGTACATTCACAGCAACTGCGACAAAGCTCCTGAAAACAGCTACTGATTTCCCAGGTGAAAGCTCAAAGGATGGCATCATTAAGCTAATTTCAATAAAACCTTAATTTCTTAAGAGTTACATAACATACAGCACTTCCTACTCACATTTTTTTTAATTCTGTAAAAAAAATGAGAACAAGTTCAAATTTAGCTCTAATTTCAGGCTCTGTTTTCAAACATGTAACTTGCACGTTGTAATCGCTACAGAGCAACTGTGGCATCAGCAGTTCTCGGCAGGGGTGGGGGGCATGAAAAATGAGGGGCGTGAGTTCCCCACAAGGGACATTCAGCAACGTCTGCAGGCATTTCAGCTGTCACAGCTGGGGTGAGAGCGTGCTGCCAGCATCTTCTGGGCAGGGCCAGGGGTCCTGTTGAACAGGCTACACCGTGCGGGACGGTCCCCACAACACAGAGATACTCAGCTCCAAACATCAGTAGTGCCCACAAACCCTGCTTTGTTCTGGAAACCTCATTTGGAGTTGGCAGTGGGATTTCCCAACTTCCTATCCAAGAGTTTCACGAGGATGGGGAGGGGGAGGGGGCATATCAGCCCTTTCTCACCAACAAGGGAGCTGCTTCTCCAAGCAGCCAAGAGATGATCGCTCGTCACCAAGCCCGACCTCTCCACAGGCTCCCACACATCGCAGAGAAGTGGGCCAGACTTCCGTGCAAAGTTCCCAAATGCCACAACCCATAGGAGGGGACAGGAACGGTCACAGCCAGGAGGCCCCAAACTGAGTTTACAGTGGTGCACAACTGCACTGTAAAACCAGTGCGATAAACAAGGCCCCCCAAAACAAAACAACACGGACATTACTGAACAACTACTGAGTCTTTTAAGGACAGAGATGGAATATGTATCACACCAAAATTCACAGGAACTGAAATAGGACAAAGAAAGGTGTGGAGGGAATACACAGGTTAATTGTTTTTTGTTTCATAATTAAAGTCTTGAAGAACTTTTCCCCCACTGGTTTCCCTCAGATCCTCCCTTCTCACACTACCCAAGGGGACAATCAGCAACTCCTCTAAATAAGGCAGTAATAATAGCACTGTCATTTGAATGGAGGGAGATTAGAGTGCCAGAGAAAACCCGGGACCCTAGACACTAATTCACCCTACTGCAAAACTCCTTCTCGGCCTCAGGCAAAATACCTAATAGCTAGTTAACTAAAGATTTAGAAAACTGGGGCATTTGAAACGATGATGACAACAATTCAAAGCAAAAGTAAGAAAAACAACAGACTCTAATTTCGTCATTGATTTAGAGAGAAAATTCTCCACAGATGAGACTTTTCTACTCAAACACGCTCGTCCCGGAAAAGTGACTGTCTCAAAAGTTTCTTCCTGGAAAACGGCCCATCGCAAGGCGTTTGTAAATAGGATTTAAGAGATCAATTAATTTCAGACAACGAAGACTGTAATATTCGACACAGCTTACAACAACTTTTGCAGCGTCCGCTGTTGGTAGACTTCGTTGGTGCAGTATTTCACGTACGGGTCAAACGTGGACGTCGTGTGCTTCTCCACAATGTCACTTATGTCGTCGATGAAGATGTTATTCTGGTGCCTTGCTTCCAACTCCATAAAGAATCTGAAGAACAAAACAGAACAAAGATGAGCATTTATGCCTTCTTCCCTGTGCTTTAATAACAGACTGTCCTTGGGGATGCATTCATATAAGGTTTAAAAAAAATCAACAGTACCAGTACCGATTCAAAAAGACACAAGCCAAAAACGACAAAAATTATCTAAATTTAAACCTGTCCCAACACTTTATAACTTCAAGTAGCCGGTTTAAATCAGTGATGATCCAGTTCATGTCTATGCTGTCTAGTGTATTTTAGAATACACAGATTTCACTATTTTTCAAACATTCTCTAGATATTGGGGGAGGGGAGGTTGATGTTTAAGTGTTTTATTATGTTGAAAAGCATAAGAGCAAAACACCTAAATAAATGCTTAAAAAACAAGTCTGAAATAAACCTAATTCTAAGTGTCCTTTCTCTCAAAATAAAAGTAACTGTATTATTTTAAATGTAATAACATGCATGACATTTCGGTGTCTTCATGAAAAACTCAGGTTGCAACTGAGGGCTGGTGGACTTTGGAGAGGTGTGTATTTGTATGTGCAGATACTGTGTCCAGTCCAGTCCAAATTAAAGTTCAGATAAATAATGAACCATTTTTCAGTAGACATATGTGTCAAATACTGCATGAGCATCTTGTATTTTATCTGGCAACCAAGGATCACTTCCAATTTTAACAGATCCTCGAAATCAGGCATCTGAAACAGGTTCGCACCCAGAGCGCTGCTGCTCCAAACGCAGCCCCCCGACCAGCAGCGCTGGTATCACCTAAGCCCCTATCAGACATGCACAGTCTCACCAGCCACCTCCCCAAGCGGGCATTTCAGCAAGCTCTCCAGATGATTCCAACGCACACTAACGTGTGAGAGCTGCCCTAGAGCCCACGTCCTGTCCGAGTTTAGAACGGTGGGAAAATCTATTAGAAATAACTATCACACAAGGACTAAATGATTTTCCAAAAAAATGTAATGAAGAAATCAACAGCAATTTCTAACGCTGGCTTCTGGAACAGCAGTGCAAGGGAAACTCAGTTTTCAGCAAGTTCTTGGGCAGTAAGCACATCACCTCTCCTCACCAGTTTGCTGGTCGGACTCCCTCATACAAAATTCGAGGGGACAGTGAATGAGAGAACAGAAATGTATACAAGATAATAGTAAATATGGGCTAACATTTTCTTACATTTATATCTCAGTTATTTCCAAAGAAAATCCTGGTACTCGGAAATAAAAGAATCAAGACACTAAGAGGCTTTGTTTTTATAGACTTACATGTACATCAAACTCATTTCGGTTTAAACTGTATTATTAGCTTTTCATCACTACCTATTTTGTCTTTTAAAGTTTCCGTAGGAGCTTAAATACAAATACGTTTTAACTTCCTGAAGGGTAAAATCATTTTACTCTGAGAAACCACCTACATTTCCATTTCCTTTAACAAATAACTTAGAGAAAATAATCAATATGATTCCCACTCACAGACTATAACGGGCCAAGTCATCCAAGCCCCTTGTTTAAAACCGCAGGGGGAAACCTACAGCAGACTTCGCTGGACCGTTCGCCTTCCCTTTCCAGGGCGCCAGAGTCACTTTGCACAGTTCTCAGAGAGGAGGCCCGAAGCCACGCCCCTGTGTTCCAGGTCCCAGTCAGCAGCTTCCTGTCACTGGGTCAGGACTGGGTCTACGAATATTCAAGTAAAAAAACTTCCATCCTGAAACTGCCAGCAATTTCAAAAACGACCAACTCCAAACTCCCAAACAAAAGCTGTGTTTCTTAAAGGATATTTTCTATATAGACTGGTCCCTGACTTCAAGAAGTTTATGATATAATAGAAAGAGAAGAATGATAGACATAGATCAGAGAGAAAGACAACATTCTTGTTTATAACTGCAGGTTGGGACCTATGTGCATAAGGGTATTGGTAGTAGTTTCTTTTCTGTAGTTACATAAACTATACATTTTTATTGTGGTACAATATACATAACACAAAATTTGCCATTTTAACTATTTTTAATGTACAATTCACAATGTCGTGCAACCATCACCATGATCTATTTCCAAAATATTTCCATCACCTTAAATAGAAGGGCTGCACCCCTTAGGCAATAACTCCCCATTTCCCTCCTTCCTCAGCTTCCGATAACCTCTGACCTACATTCTGTCTCTATGAATGGTCTATTCTAGACAATTCGTATAATTGGAATCACACCACATCTGTGCTCTTTGTCTGGCTAATTTCATCTAGTATAATATTTTCTAAGTTCAACTCTGTTGAGGCATACATCAGAACTTTATTCCTCTTTGTGGCTGAATAGTATTCCTTTAGATGCGGACACTATATTTTGTTTATCCATTCATTTGTTGATAGACACTTGGGCAGCTTCTACTTTCTGGTTGTTGTGAATAACGCTGCTATGAACATTAGTGTGCAAATATCTGTTCGAGTGCCTGTTTTCAAATCTGTGGGTTGGGTATAGACAAAGAGATGAAATTTCAACCTTACTGTCTCTGCCAACATCAGTATGTATCAAGAAAAGAGAGTACAATACCGAGAAGTAATACAGAAGCTGCTGAGTTACTGCCAGAGGGAAATTATTTCATTACATGAAAGTTGAGTAAGAAAGCAGCCTTCCCTCCTGAGTGGCCCATGGAGGGTAGGAACCAATTAATTACAGTACGAGACCTGTAACAGAGGCGCACAGCGAGAAGTCCTGAAGGCAGGGTGGCTGAGAGCAATCGCGGGTGAGGAAGGGTGTGAGGCAGGTCTTCAGAGATGAGGATGTCGGTACTGGAGCAGAGGGTGAAGCCCTTTGGGCAGGAGAAACATCGTGGGCCCGGACGTGACTCTCACTCAAGAACATGTGACTCGGGGAGTGAGGCTGAGGTGTGGACCAGAGGAGGAACATGGGCAGAGACTAAGGCTGAAAAGCGGGTCAGAGATTGACGGCAGAGGTTTGACTGGATGCTGAGGGGGTTGGGCTTAATCAGTGGACAGTGAGAATCTGCTAGAGGTACTGAAGCCAGTAAGTCACCCAATCACACAGGGGAAACTGGGACACTGCAGGGGTGGACTGCAAGCGGGGAGAGATGGACCTACAAGCATGCCAGTGAGATGGCAAATTCAGGCAAGTGATGTGAGAAATGACAGAGAGGACACAGATTCGGGTAACAGTTTGGAGGGAAAGTTAAGAGAATGGAGAAACTCATTAGAGGGGGAAGTCAGGGAGGAAGATGCTGGGATTTCTGGCTAAGGTTTCTTCCTGGGAATCAAGGTGGGTTGTTAACAGGGCTTTAGAAGAAGGGGGTCCAGTAGAAGGAAGCAGCTTGATTTCGTCTTGGAGATGCCAAGTGGACAGCTGAAAATGCACATCTGTGAGAATTCTGAGCCACAGCAATTCTAAGGAGTATGTAGTCAAGGCTAGTTCATTCTTAGCTGGTTTTCCTGTAAATGCAAACTATTTGCACTTTATTTTAATTCCAAGCATCTCTGAAGAAAATGTTCAAAGAAAACTAAAAAAAAAAAAACACAAGAAACTATTTATAAGGTCATTATCATGTAAATCTAAGAGGCAAATATCTTTTAGTTTCTTGTCTTTAGCGAAGTGTTACAATCTGAAAGAATGCAACTATATAACCAAAAACAACAGTGACTTGGCTTTTCCCAATGAAAGGAAAATTCATTTATCACAGTACAAGGTTTGCCAAAGTACAAGATTCAAAACAAAATGTTTACGCTACTTACTTTAATACAAACCAAGTCACTCATCTTTTATTTCGACATTAGCACAATTAAGACACAATTCAAAGCTTTGTGTGTTAAACTATCTGTTGGTTATTTTGGCAAATTTGCATATTTTACTAAGTAAGTGGAGCTACAAAAAGACCAAGAAAGTCATTACTGAAGAATGAGGCACTGTTCCCTTAACCACGAATGCTGCTGGTGCACATCACATCTGAGGTGCAAGTTGAAGCATTCTGGTTCCCTGGATGAAGCCTAAGTGAATTTGTGAGTTATCTGGCTAACTAGAAGAATAACTGTTTCATGGAAATACATTTCAGTGCTACAACTTTCTTCCCTGGGACAATACATTCCTTTATTTTTCCCTCTTTGTAGCATTACCAAGATGACCATGTTTTACAACCAATCATGTTACACCACCTCTCCCTGGTTTTTTTCTACCAAAATTCTAATCTCATCCCTAGAGTCTGGATTTGGGGGAAACTCTGATAACCTGAAAAGGCTTCCTGAAAACACTGCCTCCTAACCAGCAACCCAAGTGAGCCCAGTCTGCCGATTCACCGTCATCAGCAATCACACCCAGACTTCACAGGAGTGCTTCCAATGGCCGCAGCCTGCTGGGTGACCTTCTCCCTTGGCCGACGATGGTCAGACCAGGAGGCGGGGCTTCAGGGTAATAACTGCAAGCCCAGGTTTGAAGAGCTTGCTCATGGCCTATAACCTCTTCTCCAGCATTTCCCAGAACTGTAGAGGCTGTATGTTCCTTAGGCTTTTTGTGTTGCTTTATCGAGCAATAGTCTTAAAAGTGGCACTGCATTTGGGAGGAAAAAACAAAGTTGACAGCGAGGTGGCCGCTTCTGACACGCTCAGTGCATGCAGTTCTGGGAGCTTCACTTTCTCCCGTACGCACTGGGCAGAAACCCCATCGGTAGGTGTGCAGACGTGAGGCAGACACGCTCCACACCATCACTTACAACCTTCTTCCGATGCAACTGGCAGTGTAACTGACATGTCAGATACAAACGCTCCTGGCGGCTCCTGAAAACTTTCAGGTAAATTCGCCAACCCACAGAGAACATGAACACTTACCTAACAAAGACAACAAGTCTGTTTTAGTCAGTCAACTGCAAAATCTCCTTCCATGTGTCTAGCACAGGACAACAGGCTTTGGAGGATGTCAAGGAGCAAATAATAATTATTTCACCATTTCCTGTACTAAGCGTAGCAGTATACACTTCCCATATACCACCTCACTTAATTTAATCAAGCC